TGAAGCCACAGTGAGGAAAACCGTGACAGTAGAGAAAGATGCTGCTCAGACTGTTTACTGGTATCACATGTCATAGTGTTGGGTTTTAACCTCAGTGTTTCAATTATTCAGGTTAATTTGCATCATTAAAACTATTGTAGGGTCTTGACATTGTTTAAATGAGTCACGTTCATTTACATAGTTAATATTGTATGGTCTTAACCTTAATATTTAAATTTGTCAGGTTCATTTGCATCATTAATGGTATTTGTAGGGTCTTGACATTAATGTTTGAATTAGTCAGCTGAGTTTGCATAATTATTAATATTACAGCCTCAACATTTAATTCAGTGAGGTAGTTTCTGTATTTTAAGATAATTTTTGCAGAGTTTTAACTGTAATATTCAAACCACTCAGATAAACTCACTTTGTAAATAATGCTGTAGGGGCTTAACCTTAGTATGTAAACTTGTTAGCTCAATCTTATTTCTCGACCAGAAAACACTTTGGCTCAACAGTTGTCGTTTTAAATGTGCTATAGGGCCTATAAATAAAGGCGAATGAACCTTTTTTTTTGTCAAACACACTCCTGTAGGCCTTGAGTAGCTCCAGTCCCTGTTCATTAACGTTTGTTGTTCCAAATGTGTTCTTGTGACTTGAGTTTAAACTACTTTAAATATATTTACAAATAAATTTTACAGGCCAGTTTGGTAAACTTTGCATTTGGAGGCTGCACCATAACATTTTAGTGAAGTATCCAACTTTTTTATTTTTATTTTTTTTACAGTCGTCCTCAATGTATTCAGACCCTTCCATTAAAGAAAAGGTTAAATTCACAATAGTCACTCAAATAGCTAGAAACTGAAAAAAGTAATAAGAAATAAAAATTTGCTAAATTATAATTTAGTGAAGTAAGACATTGCTTTTGAATTGTGGGTGAAAAGAATAATAAAAATAAATAAAAGAATAAATAAACTGTACCAGACCAATTAGAGCACTTTGCTGATGAGCAGTGGGCCAAAATCCAAACACCTGTCAACAGGTGCAGAAGTCTGATTGAGAGTTACAGAAAACACTTGATTGCAGTGATCGCCTCAAAGGGTTGTTCAACAAAATGTTAGTTTACAGGTCCCATCATGCTTGTTTTTTTTTTGTTATTGTTGTTGTTTTTAATATTTCTGTTGAACAACAATTCAAAAGCAATGTCATGATTTTCATTATTTTTTTATTTAGTGTTACTTCTGTCAATTTCAACTTATTTCAGTGACAGCTGTTTTGTTCCTTCTTTAATGGGAGGCTATGAGTACATTTGAGGATGACTGTACTCATCAATGATTCCCTCTTCTAACTTCCATTTTTGTAAACTATTTCAACTTTTTTTTCATCACTTACATAACACTGTCAAAAGTATTTTCCATTTTGACCTTGATCAGCCATCTCTAAACAGAGGAGGGATCTACAGCATCACCTATCAGGTACTTACAATGCAGTCTTGAGATCCACATAGTTTCACCACTATGGATACCTTGAATCATCCCTCACCTGGCAGTTTTACAACTATTTACGCCTTGAGGCATGTGAGTCTTGGTTTGTTAATGGACGTCATGAGATTTGGGGGTGAAAGTAAATCTGGGACTCCCTATCAATCAGTTAGAACTGAAAAAGCCTCTTGTATAAAAGGTAAAATGTCTTCTTGAAGCACTAAAGAAGTCCACTTGCCTTCTACTGAAGCACTTAGAACGTAGCTACATGTTTTAATGTAGCTACTTTTAAGTATCCATTTCAACCATTTATTTATTATTTTGAACTGACTGGTTAAATGTCTGTCTTTTTAGTTTCTAAATGTGAATCTTCATGGTAATTTGAAAGGTGTAAATTGTGAGAAAAAGCACCATCTACTTACCTTTTCCTTATCATAAATATCCAACATGCCTATCTTTCAGTTTTCAACGCTCCTCTCTCCACGGGGCTCTAAACAGCATAACCCAGGGGTGTCCAATCCTGGTCCTGGAGGGCCACAGTCCAGCATGTTCTAGATGTTTCTCTCTTCTAACACACCTGATTCAAATAATCAGGATCGTTATTAGGCTTCTGCAGAGCTTGATGATGAGCTGATCATTTGAATCAGGTGTGTTGGAAGAGGGAAACATCTAAAACATGCAGGACTGTGGCCCTCCAGGACCAGGACTGGACACCCCTGGCATAACCTGTGCAGCGTAACAGGCCAACTGTTGTCAAGTAATTAGTCAAAAAGATGGCAACAGCAATACATAAACAAAAGAAAAGCCTGCTTGTCACATTGCATTATTGAGCCGAGGCTTAGCGGAGCCACTAGGTAAACAAAGGTTTTTAGTAAAGGAGGCTATTATTCCCAAATACAGAACTTCATAGCTGTATACGTACTCAGCCATATTCTTGCTATGCAACAGTTTGCAGCACTATTTTCTTAGTCGTTGACAGTGTGAGAGAACTTTACGCAGTTTAAACTTGAATACTTTTGAGTAAAGACTTGCTCTAGTACAAATCCCGTTTATTTTATTTTTTTTAAACCTTATGTCGTGTCCTTATATTTGTTTTGGGGCTGTTGTTTTTTTGAACATGCTGGAAGACATAATGAGCGAAATAAGATGTCAGCATCATGGCTGAGTATTTCTGCCTTGAAACTGCAATGTAGTGATGACAGTCTCTCAGAAACACAGATTAATAATCCTGAGGTTTTATTATGTAACAAACCTACAGAACCAATCAGGGGCTTCCTAAATTTACACATTCTAAAGAAAGCAGTGTGCAGTTACATCCAAGTCATTTTAAGAAAGGAATGGGTTGTTTTTGTGGATAAAACTTTTAAATATGTAGCTTTGATAAACAGAGACTTGTTTCTAAGCCCTAATCAATGACCGAAGCCAGACTTTAGAATGTTGCAGTGCAGACATCCATCTGATAGAACATCTGTAACACTGAAAAACAACGAGATGAAGATAAAAACAACACGAGGAATCTCTCAGTCAGTGGTGGAAGAAGCATTTTCAGTCCTTAAGCAAAAGTAGTAATACTACAGAGTGAAAATCCTACTCAAGTAAAAGTACAAAAGTATTAACATCAGAATAAAGCACCTCAAGTCACGGTACTTCTTATGCAGAACGACCTGTGTCAGTGTCACACATATTATACTAATGAATGCTAATTGATTCCTTAACGTGTACCACACATTAATATTGCAGCTGGAGCTAATTTTAATCACTTTTTATACTGCTGGGTGGTTTAATCTACAATAAGACAGCACAGTTTATTAGTCAGTTTCAGTTGCATTATTCTATCTAAACCTGAAAAAAAAACCTAGTAGATAAAAGCCTTGAAATACATTTAGCAGAGTAAAATGTTTTGCCTCCCAAATGTAGTGGAGTAGAAGCAGAAAGTAGCGTAACATGCAAATGCTTGAGTAAAGTACATCAAAATTGTACTTAAGTTCAGCACTGGCATCCACCACTGCTCTGTGCTTTACCAATAGTGTAGGACTGAAACCATCACTTGATTCATCTGCACCAATCTAGATGATTGGACTGAGCAGCTTCATCTCCAGTTTGAAGAGTAGTACTTTTTCTGTGTTTCATATCAGACCTGAATATCTTTGGACTGTAGTCTGGAAAATAAAAAAAAATCATCCCAGGATCTCAAAGCATGCAACAATCCTTTCATGTAGCGGCAGCCATTTTATAGCACTTAACAATTAATTGATTACCCGAGATAGCTCAATCGATGGGGGGAAAAAAAACTGTTTGTTGCTGACTTAAGATTTACTGTGCTCATTTTTTTCTTTGGGGCTGCTTGTATTTAAACAGTCAAGTCTTTGGTCTTGCCTTCCAATGACCCTGAAATTAAGACATGTGGACAACACAATCACAACAGAACTGATACGCTGAACCAGGAAACATCATGGAGAACATGATCGCTGTATGAACCCGCACTGATTGCACCAATCATGTTTAAAAGCAGCTGAGGAGCCAAGAGACTATTAACCATCCAGATGGGTCCCCTTCAAAATTAAAGCAGAATAGTGTTTTGAAGATTAATGAGCCACTCATTGCAGTAATAATAATTCGTATCCATATAGCCAATTCTCAAGCATTTGATGGCCTTTGATAAAGGCAAAACTGAGGTTGACATCAGGGCACAAGAGTACGAGGGTGTTATTGTAGCAAAACTATTTATAAATGTGCATGGAGAGATGCGGTCTGTATCTCAATCTGTGCGTCTGTAGTGAGATTTGTGACAGTGTAAAAAGATTTGTAAAAGATTCATTGATGTGTAAAAAGATTTGTCAATATGTACAAAGATATTAACAGATGAAAAGTCTAAGTGTTTGGCTACAAGTTCTGGAAATACAGACAAATCACCAGCTTCAGGTCAAGCAGGCCTCACAATTGGCTGTTTTTTGTTACTTTTGCTATACTTCTGCTGTGAGAGATTTGTATCTGAAACTTCAAGGTTTCTTTGCCCTGAGCTCAAGCTCACAGGCTCATTCATTCCAGCTGTGTACCACTCTGCTGCTCGGTACCTCAGCAGTTATGTTGCCTACAAGCCATCAGGTGGCGCTATCCCCCAGAGTCGCTGAAGACACGCAACACTGTCTGGTATATGTGGACAAGTTAAATTTGCTGAGTTTGTGGGTCACTGAGCAAAAACTTTCCTGATGGCTTGCAGGCGGCATAACTACTGAGATGAGCCTGTGAGTCTGACCTCAGGACACAGAAAACCTACAGATACAAATATGAAATAATTTGACTTTTCATCTATTAATATCTTCTATTAACAGATCTTTGTACGCATTGACAAATCTTTTTACACATTTACAATTCTCACTAAAGACACAAATTGAGATACACACAACTCTCCAAACATATACAACTAGTTTTACTACAATAATACCCCCATACAAGAACGAGATATTTATAGGTTTGTCTTGTAAACTATGATGTACACATGGATGTATGTTATTAAGACACAAGAAGTTAGTTTTATTGTCATTAATTATTTATTATTATGTGTTTTGAAAGTAAAAGTCTTACACTTATGTATTACCAACAATGTGCAAGAGTCAGGTTTTGCAGATGGCAAGCTGTACAAGAATGTAACACAGAAGAGCATTATGGTCTGTTATCATTGAATCGATAAAACTATAAAGTTAGAATACACAATAAACACAGATAAGTCTATGTACATAAAAAGATATTCAGTTCAGTTGCAAGCTAAGAAGACACACGATGATGAGATATGTACAAGTCCTTTTTTTAAAAAAAAGAAATGGGTAAGACGCAAGTGGTTGTTTTTCTTCTCCACTTAGTGCAGCTTTTACCTCTGCTGCGTGTCGCCCTGCCCATCGCTTGCTGTCAGCTGCCGGCTGATGTTGCTCTGAACAAATTGTTTAAGGCCGTCGTAACCCTGAGTGAACAGATACTCCAGGTACCAGCTCCACGGCTTGGAGTGCTGAAATACACACACACAAAAACATGCTCAGTCGCATCGAAGATATCTGAAGATTTTTGTGATCAAAGATGTCTCTGATAATCTGTGAAACATGACTGATGCACTTCAAACCACATGTGAAGTCTATTATGAATGCAGGAATGAAAAGGAGACCTCTCGTACCTTTATGGAACTGAGGTCCATGTCCTTTTTCCCTGGCCAGCACTGATAAAGAGAGAACATTAATATTCATTATCAGCCAACCCTGGTAAATCTCACAAGATCACAGCTGGATGCTGCAGTTGGACCGAACCAAAAAAAGGTACGTGTATTATTAAACATGATGAAAACCACATCTCATGCAGCAGTCATTAATAATAAAATGTCTTTCTGTATTAATGTATCATCTATGAAAGATACATTAATACCACATTTGTCTCGCGTGTAAGCCTATTAACCAAACTGTACAGACCAGCTGCGTGCTGATCCATCAAGTGCCTCTAACAGTTCGAAAACAAGCACGGAGCAGGTTTTGTTTAAAGGCACACAGACGACACATTTTATGGTCGGCAGCATGTTGGAGCTAAATCAAGACCTAAATGATGCACTGTCTACCTTCTGGTGAAAGTCCACGGCGTAGCTCATGAAGGCGGGGTGGTGGATGAGGTCGAAGCTCGTCCAATATTGCGGCACTTTGCTCTTGAGCAGCAGCTCCTCTCCCAGCTGTACGCCCATGCCTGGCTGAAACATCTTGGAGTTCCACAGGCAGCTGACCATGTCGACCACGTAATGGTTGAACTCGTGGAAAGTTTGGCGGCTGATGTGAAAGGCCTGCTGTAAAATAGAATTGAAAGCAGTGACAGAATGAGGACAAAGGAAGTGGATCGAGTCCGGCTTAACAACACACATCTGATGTTTGTTGTGGTGATTAATTTGCATGCCATTTACCAAGTCCATTTTTCTTAATAATAAGTGCCCATGACATTTTCAGGTACAGAGTACTGGCTGCTTGTCCTGTACAGGTAAATTCACAGCTTGCTGGAGCAGCTGTACTAAAATCAGTAACTTTACACGTACTCACCTGTGTGGGTCGTTAGGTTGTTAAATTTAGATAGATGGTTGGTGATTCCTAAAGAGCTGGACTGAGTTGTAAAATCTTTTAAAACTAACATTGGGAATCAAAAGTTAGATTAAAACTTTACAGGAGAACTGCACCTACATCCCTATATGTAAATCTAATATGTAATATATACATGTACATTTGCCACACAAATCATTTTCACTCATGTAAAGCAAGAGCTAAAAAAATGTATCTTTACCTTTGTCAGTTTTTCTTGAGCCTTGGCTGATGTCAAGTTCACTTTGTACCTGAACAGAAAAGAAACCGAGTGATAAAGTGGCCTCAGTAATCATGAATCACTGCAAAACAGCTTGTTCTCTGTGGTCCTTCTCAAAAAAAAAAAAAAAATCATGCAATTATGTTCCAATTTTCTTTTGCCGAGGCTTTTTTACGGTTAGCTTTGGTAAAGTTATTTCAGAACCCTGGGGTGCAGTCAATTAAGCGACACTCTAAGTATTTGGGCTATTATAGACTTGACTTATAAATGATTCTTGAATTCGACATAAAAAAGCAGAGGAGGGCTTAAGTGTATTACTTCTTAGTCTCTCATTATCATAAATCATACATTAGCATGTAAGTGCAATGAAGCTTTTTGATTCCAGTTCTGTTCCTTTATCAAATATACATAAGCATATGACATACTACATTTAGGATACTGCTAACATATGCATTGAGATACGTTTACGGCGGGCTGCTAACAGAGGGATGGAGAAGCCCCCACCTGTGCATGATGTAGGCCAGTCGGTCCACGCTGACGGGGTCCAAGGCAAACAGGGCGGGGTAAAAAACTCCAGACGGAGGCATCACCACGAGGGGGAGGCCATACTTCAGAAACGTGTCACACACCTGCAGGAGAAGAGAAACGAACACCCACCAAGAGTGAAAAGTAGATCCAACATAGAATATTCATCACTGTTGAAGCTTTGACTGTGACTCTGCTTTGTGGGAAGTTGATGTGTAAAGCTATTCTTGGCATCTCACATCATATTTAGGAGATTATATTGTGTCGAATAAGGCTTGAAATGGCTGTTTATGCCATCAAAATCATCTTTCTATCCCTAAGGAGTGTCTTGAGCAAAGAAAAAGAGCCCTTAAGAGCCTTCCTTCTGATTAAAACATGCTTCGCTCTGACGTAAAACACTATGAGAGGTTGCCAAGCAACCAGCAAAGACGACAGGAAGTTACCAGTTTTGTGATACTTATTATTTTCTTCTGATTTCAAGTCGACTGTGTGTGCTTTTAAAGTTCTATGTGGTTCTGCTAACTTGAGCGGGAAATATCCAGCAGACTTGCAGAAGTTACATATTGGATCATGAATGGCTTCCAACCTAGAACAATTCAAGGTTTTATTTTACATGTTAAACTCTGACGTAAGCTTTTCACTGCAATAGACAGATGTGAAAACAGCCTTTTACTGTCAGCCTCTACACATACTTCATTCTGCAAAACAGGGTTCAAAAATACAGGTATAGGAACAACAATTAAAACCCTTTTTTTTTTATTGCAGAAGATCTTAACATAACATTTTTTATACAGAAGCACCAATAAAGCCCAAGCACATATTGTGTCTTGCTTGAGAAAGCCACAAAACCCATTCATTCATCAGCTTCAGCTCATTTACCGTCTCATAAAAGTCCAGGACAAAGCTGAGGAGGAGAGACTGGCAGCCTTCAATCTGAAGGCCCACAGAAGCGAGCTGACCCACGAAGTTAACCAGCTCCATCACTGAATCCTTGAACCCTGACAGAGTCATGTTTCTGAGACAAAGGGCAGAGCAGGGAGTCAGACACACACTTTGACCACAACACTTGCTCTTAGGAATGGTGCTAAGTGAAACTTCTAACAACAGTTAATTGACTTCCATTGAAGCATTAGTCTAGTTTCAGATAAGAAAAAAGGAAAACACCCAAATCAGCCAAAGTAGCAGCTCGCTACACTATGAAAGGACAAACACTAAATCAAGACTGATGTCAGGAAAGTGTACACAGAGACGTTCTATAATCAATGATTTATTCACTGGGCTGCATTCTACCTAAATACCAGAGGTAAGCTTGAAAATGGCAGTGAATAAACACGGATCTGTCCACTTACTGGATTATTTATGGTTGGATTAGACGTGTGATGAAGCCCAGGAGGTATTTAAACACAAATGACACCAACTTCACCCTTTAATTTGAAAGCTGGACAATCATTTATCTGGACTACTAGGGATATTTTTGTCTCAAAACAAATTTCAATTAAAAGGATTTGCTAAAGAAATAGGCTCAAAACCAAAATGGAAAACATGTCAATACACACTTCTACCTCAGTTGCTTTGGCTGTGAATGAATAACAGATGGCTTAAGACCAGTGTGGCGTTTCAGTTCTGTTTAATTAAAAAGGGCAAAATGAGGTAAGAGGATGCTTGACATTGAAATCAAATTAGGCAATATACACAATGAACTATGCTGCCTTTAGAAAGAAATATGATAAAGATCAGTCGACTGGGACACCTACAATATGATAGGGGGATTTTTTTTTTCATAACACTAAAACAGTACAACAAAACTGAGACATCTGTAACTGATTAGGTGTGAGAAGGCACTTCATGTGCAAAAGTACAAGTTTCAAGAGCCATAATCCTTATGCTCTCACGTAAATTCATAAAGTGTGTCAAGTCTACTGCTTGTTTATGCTCAGGGCGTAAACAGGTAGCTGGAAGTAGATGTGAGACTTACATGGAGGTGTGGCTGTTCAGGCTGATGTCCAGGTCGTCCTCCAGAGCATACACTGAGTGCCAGGTCAGCCACTTCAGCAGCATATTGTTTAGACACTCCACCAGTCCACACTGCACGCACACAACACACACATGACACAGAGGAGAAGCTCTAAGCACACAGCAGTGTAAACACTGAACTAATACAGGATCTATATCGACTGCCTCATGAAGACAAGACAAGCACTACTGCATCTTTTCTGTTAACTCTGTAGCTGGAGCAAGTTTGCAATACTCATGTCTTAGATAGAAAAGCCTACCTTGAAAAACAGTGAGGATGTGAAGAAGAGCTGCGTGAGGGGTTCAAACAGAAGCCTTCCGATTTCTGAACAGGAGAAGACAAAATATCACAGCTTTACCTGCTATAGAATTCAGTGCACCACAGTTCCTAGTATATGGCACAATACTGCTAGCACGAGATCAAGCTGTGATTCCATTAAAGTGGGCAACAACATCGAGGAGGAAAGCAGCGGTATGTAAGGAAGAAAGCTGAATTGTGAAGTAGAGATGGTCATTGGAAGTGGTGGTCTGTGGAAGTGAAACTCACGAGAGCTTGGGACAACAGGAATGTTGCTGAGCAGGCCGAGGATCTGTGGACGGAGCAGGGAACCGTCCCAAACGTTGAGAAATTTGTAAAGGAAAGCCTCTGAGCTGGAAAACCCCTCCTGATGGGGAAAATAAATGGCAATGTGAAATCAAATCATTTGACTGTGGGTTTTACTTATTAGTGCACAGCATGCGTCTGCTGAATGTGTGGCTGCAGATTAATGAATACGTGACATACTAAATGACAGGTGTGAGATATACGCTGATTTTCATTATGCTAACTTATGCTTCCTCGCATCTCCTCGTGTGACATGGGAATCATTCCCTCTGCACCATTTAAATCTGATATTTAAATGCACCTAGAGGAAATGAGGAGAAAGGAGGCTTCAGAAGGATCTTAGGGCGAAAAAAACAACAGTGTATTCTCCGCAATAGTCATTTATCAAGTGGCTTGACATTTAGATTTGACTGGTGATATAGCTCTGTCATAAGTAACTGCCATCGCCTAAAGATAACGAAGGATTTTCATTTAGCAGCTTCAGCTCCTCCGTTCCTGCGTTTCTTTCTCGCATAATTCTCTTACATCCTCGCCAGGAGGAGATATCAATTGAGGAAGAAATGCGAGTGAGGGAAGTCACGAGACATGTCAGCAAAATGAAAAGCATCCCTAAAGCGATGTCAGGCTCACCTGGAGAAAGTGGTGTGCGGACAGCAGCTTGTTCAAAAACTGGAGAGCATCTTCTGAATTCTGGATGGCTCCTCCATCGCCACAGAACAAAAATTCTTAAGGAAAACAGAAAAAGAGTATTTAGTGAGAGGAAATGTCAGGGGGAACGAAAAGAAAACAGCAGGAGATTTCAGATGCACTGCATGGTAACACAGTGAGATCCTCTGGTATCTTTTAAACCCTTCTCTAAAAGGAGCCCCTTATGCCACCCATGTAATGTTGGCAGGATTTTTCCTGCCCAAAGAAATTTTGCTGCCCCCCAAATGAGATTTTAGGCAGCACCAAAGGAAAATCACCAGTGGTACTGAGAATTAAAAAAAAACAATTCAACATTTTAACCAGTTCTCTTATTTGAGGTTTTCTATAATTAACACAATCAGCATTTTTGCTTCTAAATTAGTCAGAAATAACCAGCAAGTGTCAACCAAGGTAACACAGACTCATTGCTCATGCTTACTGCTATGCTTAACCACCCTCCAAGGCCCGTTCTAAGCCAGGAAAAACCCTGGTAGTGGTTCAAATCAAGGTCAGCTTTGCTTTGGATGTATCTTCCGGATAGAAGATGTCACAGCAGTTTTGTACTTGTCCCACTGCCCCCCCACTACTTACCTTCGTGGAGAGCGTAGCCCAGCCAGAAATTGAGGCGTAGGAGGGCAGACTCATCCTGCACACAGTCCAGGTACTGCAGTGCCAGACTGGAACCCAGCAATGAGCCCATCTGAGCTGGCAGCTGGTGGAGGTAAAGTGAAGAAACAGGAAGACAAGAAAAGTATGACTGGGAGGCTAAAATAATCAAGTATCTATAAATACAAACAGGCGCACAGATGCAGTGAAACAGAAAAACTGCCAAGTGACTTTACACACAAAGTCAAACATCCCATTTAAAAAGACGCAAAAATTATTTTCAAATCAATCTGTCGACCTGCTACGGAATAAGAACCAACAGATGCTCGCGTCCATGTCATCGAGTGGGCCAACGATCCAATTCTGAGCTAATTCTTCAGTATCCGGTAATCCTTGTAATGGCAGTGCTGGGACATATCTTCCACCACGCTGGGTGGTTCATACAGTCCCTTATTGTGGATGAGCAGCTGCCTCTCAATATGGAGACACTGCCGGCATAGTAAATATATTAGAATAAGAAGAAGACAGACTGTAAATGGACACAACTCAGCTCTTCGATAATTATGGAGCAACTGTATCATTAAACTGAGAAAGCACAACTCTGCTTTTGAAAACAACAGTGGAGTGCAGTGCAGTGAGGGAAATAATCAATGATCCTTTGTCAATGTCTTTGCTGAATGGTTTTATGAGAGTGATCGATAGCACTCATCTGTCTTTCCTAACACGTGGCAAAGTAGGCCCTTCTCGGCTGTAAACACATTCAGTGCCATTGCCCTCCAAAAAGCCTTATTGTTCGCACTGGCTTTGTGGGCAGCGAAAGAGGTGAATTTATGTAGCATGACGCATAAAACTCTGCAAGCCATTTAAAATGACTTATATTCGTTTATCAGGTCACTGAATCTGCAGGCAAATAGACATTTATGGAAAAGCTTCTATAAATGACCATTTGCTTTGTAACTTTGTCCAATACATTACTCAGATACATCTCAGCTCAGGTCCTTCACTTTCATGACTCATACAGGAGCGATAAACCACTGACCATATCGGAAAAAAACAAAAAAAAGCAATGGCCTATTTACTAAACAAATAATAGGCATTCTGCTCATGAAGTCGGTTTATGCTCTTATCTAATAAATGAATTACAAGCCAACTCTGCTGTTGTTTCTCTAGGACAGAGTTGTTATTGGCCTAGTGTCACGCACAAACAAAACTACAACAGTAACACAGCACCACCCTGTGGTTTTGAGGATTTATCACAATTTAAATAGACTTCAGATCCAGAGGTTGTATAGTGACATCTCTTGTGTAGCTACTGTAGTGGGCTGCAGGTGATCAGCTGAGTGATCAATTGTGTGAATTAGTACGTAGGTTGTTCTAGTCAATCGGTCCGTGTCTGACAGCCACAGACTGAAGTTCAGCTTTTCCACCTCATGTTGGCTCTCAACCATACTTTGATCTAAATCATTGTTAAAATGATCATCCTGAGATCTGTATGGTAGCATTTTTGACGAATCTCTTTTTTTGTCGTTTTTTGAAATCAGGAGTTTAGACGAGGGATTAGTCTTTTGTTTACTTGTTTGACAAGGTTATTCCAGATTGAGTAATTTTGTTGATTTTGCTGTCATCCCAAAATGAAGTCAAAATGTCCCATTGAAACTTGAGATATAAATATCTGAGAGTGGTAATCATTGTTGCTGGTGGTTCTTTGGAGCTTAAAGGGCGAGAGGTGGGTCCTCAGGCTACGGTCAAATTATCAGTGTTTGCTGAGGAAAGTTGTTAACTATGCGAAATTACTTACTAGTATAAGTGACAGCCATGGTAAGAGCTGGTGAAATTAATTTCTAAATGAAAGCAAAAGTGCCTCAATGCTTCCTTTCTTATCTCTTTTAGCATAGTACGAGGTGTGTAAGAAAATTTCAAGGACTGATGTCACAAAAGATATATTTCAAATCCAAACTACAAACTTCAAGTTTTCCCCTTCGAAGTAATCCCCCTGCAGTCTAACACACTTCCCCAGCCTTCTCTGCCACGCCACCATGCACTCCTGGAAGAATTCTTCCAGGATCCTCCACAGCTCCGTCGTCACAGCCATCTTGATGTCCTCCACGTCTTCAAAACGTCACCCCTTAATGACCCCCTTGAGCTTGGGGAAAAGGAAAAAATCCCACGGAGCCAGGTGGGGTGAGTAGGGAGGTTGCTCTAGCACGGCGATGTTCTCAGCCAGGAACTGATGGATGCTCAGGGCATTGTGAGCAGGCGTGTTATCATGGTGAAGCAGCCACGACTTGTCCTGCCACAACTCTCAACTCTTCTCGGGCACTGAACGAAGCAAACGCCGCAGGATCTCTTTGTAGACATGCTAGTTGATCGTCTGAAGGGGAAAACTGGTAGTTTGTAGTCTGGGTTTGAAATATATATTTTGTGACACCAGTCCTGGAACTTTTCTGACACACATCGTATATTCTGGTCATCCTTTACCAAAGAAAAGAGATAACGCCATCCCACAACTGTTTGCTGCAGCAACATTCAAAGCAGGGCGCCATCCACAGCAAACCCACATCAACAACATCTGCTGTTGTATGATTACGTCATCATGAATTGTTCTTCTCATCTTTCCTCATGATGTTTTCCAACAAAGTAAAGGAAAAGTGTTCAGGAAAAGACACAGAACCCAGAGTGTTTTCAGCCTAAAAACAACGTGCACTGTTTGGTTTCAGTTTCCAGAGTGAATTACCTTTCCGTAAAAACGGTGTGCAACACACTTTGAGGTAAGTTTTCTCTCTGGTGGCTGTGTCAGAGGCGTTACCTAATCAGCAATGACGCGAATATAAACCCTGCCGACTTAAAAGAGCAAAGAATTACGTGCTCAGCTGCCAACGTAGCAACACTTGTGTAACACAACAAGGTGTTCAAAGCAGCACCGTTTCCATTTAAATGAAGTTTCGTCGGGCCGGAACACACTCCTGGTTTCCCTTCCCCTGGAACATGAGTGTGGTTATGCATCCAAATGCCAAGGTCAAATTGGCTACCATTCTGTTCTGTTGCTCAAATGATTAATGCGGGACTAACAGCTGAGAAGTGTTGTAGTAGACAAGAAAGAAAAAGCGCAAGACTGAGAAAAGCAAGACAAAGGGGCAGAGGCCTCCCCAATGTCGGCACCTCACAGATGCAGAACTCAGATTTGTTCCAGGATAAATTACCTCAATATGATGCATATTTTCCAGTAGCTGAGCAAAGGAGTGGAGCTGCACCAGGGGGACCACCTTCCTGCTGGAACATTTCTCAGTCTGAGCCTCTTTGTTGACTACAGACCTCAATGCTGGTACTTCCAGGTGGCAGTGTTTCTAAAAAAGAAAAAAAAAACAGAAACAAAAGGTTAAAGAACTAAAACTAAACTGGTTCATTGTAAATGACTGTATAGTAGAGCTGCCACTAGTTGTGTTAACTAGTTATTAACCTTGCAATTATTTTGTTGACAAATTTATCATTTTATGGATTTGTCCATGAAATTCATTAAAGGTTTTCTGGAGCTCAAGCTGACGACTTTAAATGTCTTAAAGTGTTTAAGCAACAGCCCAAAACCCCAAAATATTGAATTTACAAGGATAGGAAACAGCAGATAATAGATTTAAGTGGCTGTTAACAGCAAGTTCTTGAGAGATTATTCAATATAAAAATAACTGACAAGTAATGCTCTGTTGCTCTACAAATCAATTATCTAAATGTTACTGTATAAATGTGATACTTGGTTAAACCTGCAGCAGTTAGTGAGTGGATTAGCCTACCAACCCTGTTTTAAAGCAGAATTTTTTTTTTCCTTTTTGCTTCCAAAATGTGGCAATGGGCAACATAAAATGAATATTTCAAGGTTTAATGCTATTTTTCAGATACAGCACTCAAATTAGAGACACTGCTGTTGCCTCTGAGAAACTGCGAATGCTATTTTCTTACATTTCTTAAACAATTAATTGAGAAAAAAAATCAAGAGATTAATCAATGATGAAAATAACAGTTAGTTGCAGCCTTACACTCAGTGGCATCATTGTCTGAACGTCACTCCTTGCAATCATTCTCTAACATTTCGTACAATGAGGGAGCAGAATGAGACGATTATTTGCTTCCCTGGAGAAAACCTACAGCGCCTCCAGGTGAATTCTATGGCGGAAGCTGTGGCGCTGATGAAATGCTGGGATTGTACAGGCAAGCGACAAGCAGGTACTAAAGTGTAGCATGTCTGACTGCAAACAAACAAAATGGTAAAAAAAAAAGGCGTATCTAACAACTTAAACAGACTTCTGTACCCTTTTCCTTGAGTTGGTCTTATCCTTAATCGTGAAGGCAAGACTCATGCTGGACGCAACCTGCAAGCCGTTCCTCTTCTGGACAGCAATCAGTGCTGATTTCCAGGGGGAAATATGGTTTCTAAACCCACTCTGTAGGAAAAACAGGAAAACATTTAGCTCCGTCTGTGTTTAGTGATGATGGTCATTACAACAGTATTAACTTTTCGATCCGTGTACAAACCCTCATCCGTGATGGAATTGAGAGCGTCACTAGCTCAGGGCAAAACACTTTGTAAAGTGACAGTAGGTGCAGGAGGAAAGGCTGCCTTCCCTGAGGAAACAAGAGCGAGTATCAGCACTCTCAATCTTTGCACTCGATTCAAATCTCCATGTTTGATTGATGTTTCATATTAATGCAGA